AGTCTGCTTGAGATGCATAATAAATTCCACAAACTGGGTGGCTTAAACAACAGATGTGTATTTCTCACATCTGGAGGCTGGAAGTTCAAAATCAAGGTATTGGCTGCTTCGGTTTCTGGTGAGGGCCCTCTTTCTGATTTGCCTAAAGCAGTGGTTCTCAACCTTCCTAATGCCGAGACCCTTTAATACAGTTCCTCATGTTGTGGTGACCCCCAATTTCATTGTTACAAATTGAACATAATTAAAGCATAGTGATTAATCACAAAAACAATATGTAATTATATATGTGTTTTCCAATGGTCTTAGGCTACCCCTGTGAAAGGGTCGTTCGACCCCCAAAGGGGTCGCGACCCACAGGTTGAGAACCGCTGGCCTAAAGCCACCTTCTTGCTGTGTCCTTACACAGCAGATAGAAAAAAAGCAAGCTTCCTGTTCTATTGTTATAAGGGCACTAATCCAATCATGAGGGCCCCACTCTCATGACCTCATCACCTCCCATAGACCCCATCTCCAAATATCATCACATTGGGGGTTAGGCTTCAACCTGAATTTGAGAGTGGGCCCACAATTCTTACATACCATGCTCATTCCAGGCCCAGTAGCTAAGTGATGTCACTGGATCCTGGGCGCCTGGACACATGGAGGCCAAGGCAGGGCAGCTCTGAATGTCAGTTCAAGGTCCACATTTCATTCTCCACAGGGAAGCAACTAATCCACTTTTGTTTTCCACCCCAAATATAGGACAGATTTTCTTTCTCACTCCAGTGGCTGGGGGAGTCTGGGCTTCTCTCTCTGGTTGCAGGTGCACTCCTTCCCAGTGACTCCGGCTCAGCTGTGTCCACAGGGTCTGCCCCCAGGATTTACAGCAGATGTTTTCTATTGTCTTCATCTTTTTTCCTGTTTTAAATGCTTTTTCATTGGACTCTTTATCCCCTGATCCTTTAATCCTAAATAGCTCTTCTTGATGTCATTCCAAGCTTTATATTTCCTGTCTGTGCCCCAAAGTACAACTTCCCCGATGTCAGACTTCCAATTTGGGTCACCAAGCCCTCCCCCTCCCTCAGGGAAGCCAGAGTGGTGTCTCTTTTCATAGGATTAGCCCAGAGCAATGTTTGTCTATTCCTAGGCTCCCCTCGGTCTTATATGTGACTCTCCAGCCTATTACTGAGACCTCATGCTGCCCTCATTTGTGACAAAATCCAGCCACGAGAACTTTCTATTTAGGGTCATCATCTAGGGTTTCCACATGATCACAGTTATAAAGACATTCAAGCTTCATCACGGTGAGTGACTGCATGTGTTTAGGATTATGTGGAAATGTGATTTGCCCAGGAAATGGAAAAATATATCTTTAACTTGGTTGTAGGAAAAAATCTTAATTATACAATAAACAAAGAACTACGCAATGACAATTCTCCAGAGGACAGGCCATCTAAGAGACCTTCAGAACCTGCTGGTCCTTCTGAAGTTTGAAAAGTCACAAAGGAAGGTGCCCGAGGAGCCTGGCTGCCTTCCAGAGCAGCTGACTTTGTTTTTCTTGGGCTAAAAAAAGGCAGCGCTGGAGCATGGACATAGCTCAGCAGCATCGATTCAGCCTCGGTAACAATGGAGGGGGAAGAAACGGATTTTCTTGTCATTTGTAAGAATTTGACAACCTAAGCTATAGTAAGTCGATAGGAGTGACCTAGAATATTATATATATTCTGTTATGACCATCCTATTCCACCAAAACATCTTTTTTTTTAAAAGCAATTCAGTTGCCTTTCTCTCACCACTTCATTTTCTTTTTTAAAATTTTTATTGATTGATTTTTAGAGAGAGGGGGAGAGAGAAACATCGATTTGTTCCACTTATCTATACATCCATGAGTTGATTCTTGCATGTGCCCTGAGAGGGATTGAACCTGCAATCTTGGCATATCGGAATGACATTCTAACTACCGGAGCTATTGACCAGGGCCCACCAAAACTTCTTTTAATAAGAATTTGCAGGAGAGGTGATGACGCATGGGAAGCCCTTTCTGTTAGAATAGCTGGCCGTTACCCAGGGAGCAAAGGTAGGTGTGGGTTGTCCAGTGTTACCCAGCATTTAAATTATTTAGTTAAAAGAGGTAGAAAAAGTGAATTGTAATAGACCGGGAAGAAGGAGATGGCTGTTTTTTTAAAATTAATCTTTATTGTTGAAAGTATTACAGGTGACCCATTTTCTTCCCCATTGACCGACCCCTTCTAAGGAAATGACTCTTGAATGAGAACCTCAAACAGTACTGAGCCATAATGAGAGATGGGGCCATTCAGGGTTGGTTTTATTGAGCCTGGAAGAATCAGGGCTGCTCGCAGCTAGGGATGGGCCATCAGTCACCCTAGATAAGTGGTCGGCAAACTGATTAGTCAACAAAGCCAAATATCAACAGTACAACGATTGAAATTTCTTTTGAGAGCCAAATTTTTTAAACTTGAACTATATAGGTAGGTACATTGTTATTAACTTAATTAGGGTACTCCTAAGGTTTAGGAAGAGCCGCATGTGGCTCGCGAGCTGCAGTTTGCCGACCACGGCCCTAGATGAACTCAGGTTATTTTCCCAGGAGTGGCAATCGATTGAGGTATTTTTCTGAAAGCAGCTAGCTGTCCTGGACAGGAATTCCACTTGCAATCTTGGCCTCATCAGCTTCCCTGATAATTGAAAGAGCTGATGGGTGCTGATGACCATTACTCTCCAGCCCTCTTTTCCTTCCGCTGAGATCCTGCTAAGGGTTATTACCAAACTAGGAAATAGGTACAAGTCCAGGGAAGATACATTATTACGCCAGAACTCTAAGCTTAGTCATGTCTGGAAGGAAATTAGAGGTCAATTGGTCCATCGCAATGACTCTGTCAGCTAAGAGAATGAAGGTCCCTAAGTGTTTCTTCTTTGGGATCATGAAACCAGAGGTTGTGATGGGGGTTAGAAGAATAGGAAGTAACTTTTTTCTCATCGATTCTAGAGGGAGAAGGGAGAGAGAGAAACATCAGTGTGAGAGAGACACATCAATTGGTATGTGCCCTGACCAGGAATTGAAACTGTGACCCTTCAGTGCATGAGCAACACTAACCAACTGAGCCACACTGGCCAGGGCAAGTAGGAAATTCAGTTACATCACAATTAACTGAATATCCAGGGCAGTACTTAATTTTGTGTGGGGTAAAGGAAAAGTATTCCTTCTTAGAAATGGGAACATATGAGCTGGGACCTGTTAGGGACCAGGCCAAAGAAAGTCCTCCAGTTGGAGACATTGATGAGCAAGATAGCAAGTAGGCCAGAAGAGGACCTTCCTAGAGAAGATGGTTGAAGTCAGTGGAGCCATGGATCATGGCATGAAGCTGGTGTCCTAAATGGAGCCAGAATGATCAAGTTCAAAAATCTTCAGAGCTCAAGATAATTTAGATGGAAATTAGAACCATTTATAACAATCATAAAGACGGTGTATAGCCTATTAAGTAAGGGAAACACACTGGGTTATAAAGTTAAACAGATATTTGGTATTGCAGGACTTCTCAGAGCCTTTACTAGTCTAACATATATTGTGAATCTCCAAAAGGGAGCTGTATCATGAAACATTTGCCACACTTATTTGTCCCTGTGACCTTGGATTTCTCAAAGCCAGTCTTCTAAAACTTAGGGGAACTCCAGAAGCTTCTCTCAGGGTCAGAGCCATGATTTGCTCAGTAACCAGGCCAGTGGATCAGTTATATTTTGGTTAATGTCACTTTTCTCTTATACTTAAGTGGGCTAATATGTCACCTGAGGATTATTGTTACTCAAATGCCAGTTTTTGAAGAACTCCCAACAAATGAAAATTTTTTTTAAATAATTCGAACCTATAAGTTCCTTTTTAAGCCGTCTGATTCTGTTAGACCACAAAGCAAAGACAGCAGCATATTAGGATGACATTGAGCTTATGCATTCTGACTTATTTCAGAAAATGAACTGCTTATATGGGTGAACAACTTGCAACCCAGCTTATTCACAGATGTGCCTTGGTCCTGTGCAGGACTGGAATTTGTTTTCATACCTCAGCAACCCAGTAGATGAGTACCTGGTGTAGCAGGAGCCTTGGAACATCAGTCAGTGTTGTCTGTCTGATTTATCCCATGTCCA